GGGTTAATAAACATTATGCAGGTGAGACAGTTTATTTTGCTTCCTTCGCGGTTACGAGCTGACTCGTTTTGCCTCACTGACAAGGTATATGCCTCCTGTTCACCGCAGGCACCTAAAGGCCATGGAACAACTACCTCTTTAAATGGTCTCCCTAGATCGCTAGAAGAAAGGGGAGGTGCAATATTGTGGTGTAACCTGGTGTTCTGACTTTCGCCTGTCTTACAGTACCGGAAAATCGGTTTAAAGTAAGAAACAGTTTTATCATAAAACCCGTTAACAATTCGACCAATGGACCAAGAATCAAAAATATGCATTCTTAGTTGTATTAATAGAATCGGCATTGTGCTGAGCCGCACAGTCTTTATATTTCACTCTGGAAATAAATCTTCCTCTGTCAGACGCTTCCACCTTTTGCATCAGCTAAACGTCGAACAGAAAAATTTAAATCCAGTTCATCTTGTATCTGAGGTTTTACGCACTTTGACCACTCGCCCTAAGTATTAAGTAATAATTGTCCCTGCTCTGTTTTCTTTTAAACCGTTGTTAATTACTTAATCTGTGACTTCTCCGTGAAAATGCGATTCGATTGTTTAGATGTGTGATTTTCTGGAAACTGAATACCTCGCTGAACAGGTCGAATCGATGAAACAGATCGCTGGCTACATCACGAACCTGAAACGTGCTGGCCGTGGTTTGGGAGAATACTGTTTCGACCGTGAAACATTGAACGCGGAGTAACATTTTATGTTATTACGTCGAATTTAAGCAGATTTATCTTTTGTCACTTCGTGTAACGTCTTTTATATTTCATATTTTTTCCAGTTTATATTTTGATTTTACGCTGTACGTATTTCGCATCGTATGAAGATCGATTTTAATTTAGTCAGCGAGTTTTACTAAAACAGTAGTGCTCACTTTTTTAGGAACAAGCAAAAAACCGAACACTTTTTATGCCTGATAACAGCAGTATTCTCATTAGTCTGTGGCACTCTCAGAAAGGTTTTCCGATTTTTATAAGTGTAGGTAACTCATCAGAGAAGATCGAGTGCACTGTTCATATTCCCCATGAACCCTCTTCCTTGGAACAATTTTGTCCATTTTTCGAAACAAATGTAACCGATAGCGTTTTCCGAT